TCCTACTGCCTTTTCTTCTGGTTCACGGATTCTTTGTCAAATCTGTGGCCATGGTGGCCACACCGCCTTGGATTGCTATAACCGCATGAATCTTGCCTTTGAAGGTCGCATTCCTACTCAGCGCTTATCTGCCATGGCTACTTCTTCCTCTCAGCAACCTAGATCCTCCTCTTGGCTTATGGATACTGGTGCCAACTCTCATATTACCCATATGTGGGTGCTTTGAACATTCCCAGAGAATATCGTGGTAATAACTCCATTGGTGGTGTCATTGGCGGAACAGGTTTAACTATATCTCATATTGGTAGTTCTAATATTGTTCACGGTTCCTCCTCTTATTCTTTGTCTAACCTTCTTTGTTGCCCTCAAGCCTCTACTAAACTTGTTTCTGTTAACCGTTTTTCTCGTGACAATGACTGTTTCTTCATGGTATCAGAGCAGGTTAGCCCACGTGTGAAAGCCCAACAATCACACGTGCTCCACGTCACCCAAAATGTGGTGTCCATGTGAAAGGCTTGAAAATTCGCCATGCACGTGCGGGGGTGTGTGAGAATATGAAGGTAAAGAGTCCCACATTGGAAAGTTAAGAAACCTAGCAAAAGCTTATAAAGAATTGGGTTACTCCCCCCATTGCCAATTGGTTTTGGGGTGAAACTTCAACTTTCCTTCAAACCGAATCTAGAAGCTCCACCTCCAAAACAGAGAGATTTGAAAGAGGTCTACCACAAAAGCCCAAAAACTGCAAAGACACACGCAACAGAGGTCTAAAGTAGCATATATACTTAGATCTACCAAAATCCAGCCTCAAAAGGCTAATAAACAACCCCTAGAAAACTAGGATGAGACTAAACCCTTTCAAAGCAAGGAATCTACAAAACCCAACATAAAGTTGATTGCTCTTCACAACATAACTGAGGGGACTTGGGGAGAGAAGCCCGGTTTATTAGCCGAATGGCTGGTTCTAGGGCGTTTTCAGATATGTTGTGGGTTTTGGGTTGGGGAAAAGGAAGAGTCGAGTGAGCAAAAGTTAAAAGATATTGTTTTAGGTTATTGAGCAACCAACTTACATGACTAGACTGCGGGTTTTTGACATCTTGTGTAACATAAAGTTGAAGTTCTTCTTTAGACCCTAGAGATGAGAAATCTTTCAACCACTATTTTGTTTCCACTTCATGCCTCTTTGGGTGTCATGTCCTGAATTGCAAGTGTAGGGATTTTATTCAACATGTGGGTGCTCCAATTTACTGCTCCCGGCCATAAACTCTTTGGAACTTTTCCTCTTTTGCTAGCATGCTCATCACCATGTTAAGGATTGTTCAATTCTTCCTCTCGAACACACCATTTTGTTGTGGTGTGTAGGATGTGGTAAGTTCTCTCTAAATATAATGTAAGGCTCAAAAACCTTCAAAAGCTTGTGAAGTATATTCTCCACTTGTTCGAAGAACTTTAATTGTGCTCCCAATTTCATTCTTAACAAGGGCCTTAAAACTTTTGAATGCATTTAAAGCTTTTTATTTTTCCTACAAGAAATACACACAAATTTTCCTAATAAAATCATCAATATCATAAATAAAGTGTCGCTTTATCCATTTGATATTAGATTAGTATTTCCAAAAAAAAAAAAAAAACACACACACACACACACATCAACAATGCATTAGGCCAATTCCAATGTTGCCTTCGTTCCAACCAAAGTCTTCTCCTCATCTAAAACTACCAAGAGAAAGGCAACAACTATCCCAACAACCAAGATAGAGTAGCTTCTCTCTGATACGTGACCTCATCAGTTTACCCTTGGCCACATCTATCCTCTTTAACAACCCATGAATTATCATCTTTGATCGTGCACAAATGTCAAGATTAAACCAGTCAAAAAACCCACACCCATTTGCCTTTACATGAATGTAATGCATTAACTACTACAGTGTAATTCAAAAATCCAAACAATTTGAAATTTTAAAGACAAAAACCATACAAACCAGACCTATGTGGTTTCGGTTCTAGTTCGGTTCAATTTTCATAGAAAGTGTCTCGATGAACCGAACCAAACTGGAACTATGCGGTTTTGGTTCCAGTTCAGCCAATTTTTTGTTTGGAAAGATAAATATATGAAGATGTGAAGAAGAAAGAAATAGGAACAAAAGAAAAATATGTAGTAGAGATAAAATAAGAGAGAAAGATGTGAAGAGATAATGATGAGGAGAAAGAAAAAGAAATAGGTGGAAAATAGATAAGACGGAAGCGCAACATGAGCTGCTATGGTTCACCGAAAAGAAAAAGAAGTTGGGCTACAGTTATTTAGTTGAGTATAAATTGAAACTAAGATATATGGGTATTAATTGTGCTAAAATATTTAGATATTACTTGGACTTACTAATGTGATTTGAAAGTTAATTAGGCTTACTAATTATTTTGGATATAAATGAATAAGTAAACTGAACATAACCGGTCTAGTTTGGTTTTGACAGGTTTTTTCAAGACAAGAATCGGGATGGGAGCTTATCCAAAGCGGTTCCGTTCGATTTTTGAGCCTAGGTTGACTTTTTCTGTCAACACGGTGTTTTTCCCCTTTTTTGTTTTACTCAGCTCACTTGTTCAAATGTCCACCCCTAAAGAAGACACGACCTAGGGTTCGTGGCCAAACGCAAGAGTCGAGTGGCCATGCTCAAGTTAGGAGGTCACAAATACTGAGTTTTAGTAAATGAAGTGGAATATATATGTGTTGATGAAAAATTGTTGAATGAGAAAGGATGACAAAAAATACATTTTCAAGTTGTTTAAAAAAAAATAGGTTAATAGTTTTTCTTTTTCCAAAAATAGAGAATGAAAATTGTTACCAAACATGTTTTCAATTTTTTAAATTTTCAAAAACAGTAAAAATGAAATGATTATCAAACGAGCTTTAAATTAATTACAGAAATTGTATTTGGCACGGCAACGGCTTTGTTGTGGTTCTGCGGCTAGTAACATGTCTAGTGTTGAAAATTATAGTTTTGTAAGTCCAACAAGGCCCGTGGTTGTGTTAAGATGGGTTGGGATTTGGAAGAGAAGGGCATGGCATTTAAGCAATAAGATATGGGAGGAAGGGCAGTTAGGAAAGAGCAAAAAGCTAAGCAAGCTTTAAACAAAAACTAAAACCTTTGCTGATGATGATGCTGGTACTTGGAGAATATGGGCCACCAGAAATCCCTTGAGAATTACGATTATGTTATGTATGATATGAAATGAAGAGCATCCTTACGTGCTACCATCATCATCATTCATATTCATATTCATTTATATATATATATATATATATAGTGCTCTGTCGTATTGTCCTTGTTTCATTACATATCAACCATCGGATGGAGGGGAAGAGGAAGGTATGCATAATGGACGAGTGCGATAAGATTATTAAAGATGTAGAGGTAGAGGGTAAGGAATAGGGCAGCAAAACTTAATAGGGAAAAAGGTCGGGTAGCAGGTATTATCTGGCAACTGGGGCAGCTGTCTTCCAATTGCTTTGACCAAAGAAAGTGACAATCCATTCAATTCCTTCCTTCCGATATGACCGATATGGCCATATCCAACTCATACCCACTGTCACCCACGCACACACACAGACACATAGACACAATCACTTGTTCTTTTTTTTTCTTCATATTAAGTGTTTCACTCTGCGTAAAGTGGTGAGAGTGAGAGAGAGAGAGAAAGAGAGGCAAAAACAGGAGGCAGCAGTGACACAGAAGTATTGTTACCAACTGATAACACAAATACACATGCCTGTCTCATGCAGGGCTGCTTTATCTTTTCTTTTATCCCACCACCCCCCACACCACTTCCAGCTCACTAAAACACTTGCATGGGGCCCCACTTCCCTTCCTTCCTTACTGTGAATTGCCACCCCCCTATGCCCTATGCCCTATGCCCTATGCCCTATGCCCCTAGCCTTGTTGGCTTCATTCCTTCATTCATACTGTTACTGTACTAACTCTTCATCGAAATTCAAGAGTTAGCTAGGTTTCATCCATTTTCGTCCAAAGGTAACATAAAGAAGCACACATGTTTGGTTTCAATACTTAATTGAAATTCTACTCAATTCAAGAACAATTAGTGCCTTCACCCGATAATAAATTCATCGCTCAACTTTTCTATTCGAGTTTTCATCCCAATTGAATAAGAGGTTGTTGTCACATTACATTTGCATTTTTTGAGTTGAATAAACAAAGAATAATGTTATTCTTACCACATTCACATACCATCTTATGTAGCAAATAAGATAGACATCCATATCAATTAAAATTAATTTAATATTTTCTTTTCTTTTATAATTTCTTGAAACATTTTAATTGATGTGGCAAGAGTTACACCACCACCACACCACAACTGGTTTGGGCCAAGCCACAAATGTCAATAAATCCTTAGTCAGGAACACTGATTTGCAGGCCCATCAGACAAGAGAGCACGTCTCCCTCGTCCCTCCCTTCCCATTTGACTACCTCTCTTGAAGTTGCGCAAGGCCTTCAATGGCAAGGCAATCAAATTAAGCAGTTGTTAGGAATCAGACTCCAATGTTAAAGAAGAAAACAATACCATATCTTCAGTTCAGCCATGGTGGTGGTTCCCAAGCAGTCCTTCCAGATAGCTTTGCCACCCTAAGACCATGGTCTGGCTGCAGCTTCCAGGATACAACCTTTTCTTTTTCAACAAGTAAATCCTCCATGACTAATAGAAAAGTGAACAAAGGACTATGCTAAATATAACTTGAGATAAAATAAAAAATAAAAACCAAAATACAACATTTTCACCTCCTATCTTACTTACAGGGACTAATGCTTGAATGTCAGTCGTGTCACTTCAACTTATCTTGCTTAAACTCATGCCAATTACTTTTTCATTTCAACAATGTAAACATATTCTTCAAAGAAAATACCTCAAACCTCAAACCTTTAGCTTTTCATTTTCTCTAACAAAAAGTCCACTTAGTTCGCTTAGACGTCTTGGTTCTCTTAATTATCCTAGCCATATGAGAAGAGAGCCAAGACATCTAAGAGTACTAAGTGGAACCACCTAAATCCGTATGATCAACTCACCTTAAGTAGAGTTTTAGTTACAGATATAAGAAGCTTGAATAAAGAAGCAGAAACAGAAAGGTAAGCATCCTAGATATTGATAAGTGTCATGTTTACATTGTTTGGGGAGTCCAAATAAGATGAGTATAAGTCACTCCTTACTTTCGCATTTCGAGTATGACAGGGTCGCATCCGTTTCGAACTCTACCAACACAAAAACAAAAATAACACCAAAAAGTGCAAAGAAGCCTGTACTTCATAGCACAAGCACTATGTGCAACTATGACAAATCCTCGTGATAAAGATGAAGCCCAAGACCAAAACGTGCACAAGCGCGACGAAATGCCATTGCTTCTGCCTTCTGTACAGGATCCCCAAAACTTGTGTCATCTACTGAAGCAGTGCCGGTCGACTCCCTAAAGATCTGGCAGAAACAAGTAGCATATAGTTAGGAAAACAAGTCAGATACGTGCCAAACCTTACAATCTTTTTCTCTTCTTTTTGGTTTTTCAACATTTCTGAAGCTCATTTAAAGGAGCTTCCACAAATTTCTTAATTTACGAAACCTGTGGAAGTGCCTGGAGTCCTTACTTCAACCAGTAGAACATCCATCCCAGTTTTTTTATTGAAAATATCTTAGCACATAAAGAAGACAGGTACATATGCAACTATCCTATCCAACACATAGATCACACAGGAGAGAAGATTAAAAATAAAATTTTAAAAAGGAAATTAAGAAACAGTTGTATAAGTTTTCTGATGAACACCAAGATCACAGAATATACAACCAAACGAATGAGGTTTTCCCATTTTAGGACAACTGAATTCTAAATTCACTGAAAAGAAAAGATAGTTCATGGCATCCCATTCATTCATTTCTAGATAGAAGATACATATGCAAAGTACATGTAATGGGAATATTCTAGATTGCTTAGACAATTGTGAATTTATAATTTCCAACACTGAAAATTAAAAGGTTAGAGGAAAAGAAATGGAAATATGAATATTGTTGTACCTCAGCATCAGTGCCATAGAGCGTGACACGATAAACAACAGATACAGACTTGGCATCAGCAGAGTAAGTGATGCTGCGGACCTCACCGGACCATTCTACAAATAAAACATGTGCAATAAAAAAAATGAAAAATTGGAAGTAATTTGGGAATATGAAGCCTGGTGTGGTGGTGGTGGTGTTGGTGGTGCCTACCTGGAGCATGCAAGTTCATAATCCGATTAACAATGTGCCTGAAATGTAAATATCAGGCCAGATTCAGACTTGTTTTGTTTTTCTGTCACAAAGATTTTGAAATTAAAACAAGATTATATTTTAGTAAGTAATACCAGGGGATGTATTTGGAGGTAAAGCCACTTTCGGAGCGGGTTTTGACGAGGGAATCAGGGACTTTCTTGTTGAGTTGCTTGAGGATTTCAGAGAGGGGTCTGCTGATTCCCGAGCTCACTGCGAAGCCGTCGTCTTCTGCCTCTTCTTCTGCTTGTTTCTCCCTCCGCCCTTCCGCATTAGAAGAAGAGGCCAACTTGGCGTAGGAACGCCGCCACGGTGAGCCTTCACCCACAGCTACACACAGCGATCTCAACATAGAGGATTTAGAAGCGACTGATTGCGCCATTCCTCTCTCCAAAGGAAGCACAAAACCCACAAACAAACAGCAAAACCCTCTCGGCCCTGTCTCACTTGACTTGCCAAATTTTTGACAACAAATTAATACTATTTCCCTGATTTTTGGGGTCGTCTTTCACTTCAATCCCATTTTTGAGTGTTCCCGGTACACCACGTGGTTGGTGTACCATCCAATAGACGGAAGACATATGGAATATGTCCAATGCAGTCCACCACATGTCATAAGAAGAAATGCAGTAAGTTGAATAATAATTCCACATGTTCTATGTTTATTGGATGGTACACCAAACACGTGGTGTACCTGGAACATTTAAAAATTTCTCCTAAAACCTCATAAGGACAGATTTTTTATTTTATTTTAAGAATTTAGAATTTAGAAAAAATTGAATTATTTTTTTTATTTGTTCACACATCATATGAAAAATGTAGGCGTCACAATACCAATTTAACGGAAGGTTAAATGGTCAAATTGATAGGCGACTTAAATTGATTTTATCTTACAACCTCACGGTAAACTCGCCATAAAACCTGAAGGTATAAAACGTAATTAGGTCTTCATCTAATTTACCGGTGAAATGAAGTTGAAAATTTTATTTAAAAGAAATGGGAACTTTAGTTATTGAATTTTGGGTTCAATTCAAACAAATCATACTTATAAGACAGCACTAACGATGCTCAAGTGGCATCTGATTCTTGGAAAACATCAATCTAAATAAAGGGTTTAGAAGAAAAAATGATAAGTATGGTGATCAGATGAGAGCCATTTGTTGGACGTTGATTGGGTAGCAATCAGAGGGTGGGCCGTTAAAAGCCCGCCAAGCAAGGACGGCATTTGCAGCTTCAGTTGGGTGGTAGGCATCCCAAAAAATGTACTGATTTCTATTTGCACATGGAACCAAATATGGAAGACATGTTATCTGCCCTCTGTTCCTCCCAATTCCACAGCACCCTCTATCAATCACACTGAACCCTGCCATGCCAAATTGCCAAATTGCCAATGCCATGTATTATATACTTTTAACTGCATCCTTATTAGTGTCGTTAAAACGAAAATTATAAGTAGTTGTTGTTACCATAAAGGGCAGGATTGTTAAGCATGTCACCAAAGGCAGCATAAGTATTGGCGTAGACAAAGATGGCTCCAGGATGGTTGGTGTTGAGTTGGTTGGCCAGTGATCTAAGCCCTTCATTGAAGCTACCAAGGATCTGATTCACATAATCCATACACCTTCCGGGCTGGGCCGAGGCTCTTTGGTTAGGGATGCACCCCAATGGCCCAATTCCTGCTAGCATAAACTTCCTTAATCCTAAGCTATGCAATGCCTACAACGTAACAATATTAATTTCAAATCTCATGAACGACAAATAGATGTTGAAAACAAACAAAAAAAAGATTTGAATAAATAAACAAGGAGTCTAGATCTAGTACCAGAATCTGTTGAGTATAGCGATTAAGGAGAAGGTTGGCAAAGGCAGGAGGAGTGTAAATGTAGCTGGAAGAATAGAGGGAAGGCAAGAGGTAGTTGTTGATGTAGTCATTGCTTCCAAACTCCAAAACTGCTATGGACTTAGCCAAGTACTGGGTCATGTTAGCTCCACTCATCATCCGTCTTAACTGATCCAAGGTGGTCTCAAAATTCAGCACTTGCTGGCTAAGGCTATACCGCTGTCCCTGTGAATTCATTCATTTGTGTGGATCATATTACCAGATAAATGTTCGTATTGTCAGATTATAAATTTAAATCGTGTATATTTTTAACAAAATGAACTGAATAAATGGTCTATAGATTTCACAAGTATGTGTAGATATATGTGTAAACATGTGACAAGCGTACAAAGTGTTGGCCTGTCTCATCAAGTATGCCTGCAGCTGCGGAAGCATAATTTACTCCCCAAAGTATTCTGGTTCCTGTTGTATTAGGATCTGCAAAGGGTGGAACATATGGAAGACCCAGCAAATTTCCTGCAGATTAATTAATTACCTATGAGAAAATGAAATAATATTAATTATACACGAGTGTAGCTGTAGCCTGTAGCCTGTAGCCTGTAGGTACCGACCAAGCATATCGACAACAGTTCTTCCATTAGAGAATCTGCCAGTAGGGCCTGCCCTGAAATCGCAGCCATAAGGATAATAATTGGATTTTGCAAGGGAGCCAAGGTAGTTGTTGTTGCCAACATCAATCAATGAGTCCCCAAAAATAAACATTGCTGGAATCTGCGCTGCTGCTGACACTGACCCAATACTTGTTAAGCATTGCACCACTAAAATCATCATGATCAGCCCACTACTGCCCAACCACACACCTTCCCCTTCATCACAAATCCTCTTCTTACCACCCATATTATTCATCCTCACTTCAACAACACAGATTAAGGTGGGAAAGGATAGAGAGGTGATTTTATTATATATATCCATTCCATTTTTACGAAACGGCTAGTTATGACATGTAAGTTACGCAAGCATTTCCAAATTTGCAAAGCCATAAAACGTGCTTTTGGATGCCTTTTGGGGTTGTCTTTTTGTCGTCCGTTTTGCCTTTTATCTTCTTTCTGGGATCTGGTTCCTCTATCTCTTTTGCTTCTTTGCATGTTATCAAATGAGGTCATATCACAGACTCACATGTTTTTATCCCTTGTTACGTGAGATTCATGTGTTGTAACTCGTAACCATCGCCCATCAAATTATTTACATGTATAATTCAAAAGGTATAGCTAGGTTTAATCTGAATTTTCTTTTTGGTGCTCACTATTTTATTTATTTACTTTTTTTTAATTTTTACAAAGGCAATTAGAACTTGACGCTCTTTTCTAATATTTGGAGAAATATCACTAAACTAAATGTTAGTTATGCATAGAA